AAGGGTAATGTCTTCGACTAGATACGATTTGTGATCTTTTGACGTATCGTTGAAAGAAATCCGTTCGGTGAGAGCTGAGAAAAAGTGGTAACAGAGAAAAAAAAAAAAAAAAAAAAAAAAAAAAAAACACATCATAGTAAAACCAATACCTTCTCAGCTTCGCATCGAAGCTAAAAAAACTACCAAAAAAATTATAATTTTTATTTCCAAAACAAAAAATTAATTTATTACAATAACAATAAAAAAAACTTAGGAAGTAAAATGATTAAGGGTTCTATAATATCAAAAATTGTAATAAATTATTGCCTTAATTTAATCAAGCAAAAATAAAGCTTGATAAGTTTTGACTTTAAGAGACATAAATAAATTATAAATGTTTGTAAGATATAGGCTTTCAAGAATTGTTTCTAAATATTTACTGTCATCAATTTCAATGTTTTAACACTAAAGCAAATTTAATTTTAACTAACATTTTTTTTTCTTTAAAATATTATTATAACACAACTTGTATGTATATAAATAAGATATTTAGTCATTTTATTACCTAAAAATTTCTTTTATCTCTTCTTCGTAGCCAAATGAAAAAATTAGATCTGCTTCATCAACAACTACCGTTTGAAGTTTATCAAAAGATATATTTTTTGCTTGCAAGTGAAGTAAAGTTCTTGCTGGTGTAGATACAATAATATCAGGTGGAGTAATTAATAAAGGCTGTTGTTCTTTCATATCTATCTAAAATTAAAAAAAAAATTTGTAGCACAGCGGTGTCGAGGCACAGTGTAGACAAGGCATTGATGGGACAAGTATAGATGATATTTGACAGTGATTAAAATCACTATCATAAGAAACGCTTCGATGCAAATCTGTAGATAGTGTATAATTTAAAAAAAAAAAAATTAGTTAAAATAGCATATTTTTGAATACGGTAGCCATTTGCGCATAAAAGATAGATTGTCAACACAAATTTTTTTTTTTCATTTTATAGCACATAAAACAAGCTTTAATTTGATATATGTTTAAAGGACGCAGTATTTCCGGAACATTTTTAAAAATTAAGTTGAAAAAGTTAGTTTTTGTAAAAAAGTTGCAATTTTAAATCTTTCCCAATGAGCAGAATAAGTGTTAGATTTTCAAAAAAAATTATATCAAATGAAAGGGAATTATCTAAGGTTTCAATACAAAAAAATATTATTTTTATTTGTTCATTTTTGAAAAAGTTACTGTTTTAAGTACAAAAAACATCCCAATAAAAGATGATTTTTATCGCAAACATTACATTTTTTTTTAATTTTCGACAGCCATTTGCACATAGAAGATAGGATGTCGGAACAAATTTTTTTTAGCTTCGATGCGGAGAAAGTATTAATTTTACTATGTGTTTTTTATTTTTTTTTTTTTTTAAGTCTTGCCACTTTTTTTTCATTTGATAATATATAACATAACTTTTGATTTGATATATGTTTAAAGGACGCAGTATTTCCGGAACATTTTCAAAAGTTCAGTTGAAAAAGATCTATGTTTTTTACAATATTTTAAGTTTTGAACGCCCCCTATATAAGGGGAAATTATCCAATTTTAATAAAAAGTATGTCAAATAAAAATGTACTTATAATGTATTTAGAAAAAAAATTTTGTGCTGATATTTACATTTTTCAAAAAGTTATAGCATTTTAAAGTTGAACATATAAAATTGAAAATCGAAAATTTTAACACAAAAATAACGTTTTTTTTAACTACGGCAGCCATTTACACGGAGAAGATAAAGTGTCGGGACAAATTTTTTTTTTCATTTTATAGCACATAAAACAAGCTTTAATTTGATATATGTTTAAAGGACGCAGTATTTCCGGAACATTTTCAAAAATTAAGTTGAAAAAGTTAGTTTTTGTAAAAAAGTTGCTATTTTAAATCCTTCCCAATGAGCATGTTAAGTGTTAGATTTTCAAAAAAATAATATCAAATGAAAGGGAAATATCTAAGGTTTTAGTATAAAAAAAAATTATATTGATTTGTTTATTTTTGAAAAAGTTATGGAAGTTTTAAGAAAAAAAATGAAAAAAATAACAAAGTTTACCGATTTTTAAATTTGTAATTTTTTTGGATATTTCCCCCATTTTCGGGGAACGAGGGAATTTTTTTCAATTTTTAAGGGTAATGTCTCCAACTAGATACGATTTGTGATCTTTTGACGTACTTTTGAAAGAAATCGGTCCAGTGAGAGCTGAGAAAAAGTGGCAACAGACATAAAAAAAACACATCATGGTAAAATTAATACCTTCTCAGCTTCGCATCGAACCTAAAAAAATAAATAACTAAAATATTAAAATTATTTAATACTACATATATACTGATATTATGTATACATCTTAATAAAGTAAAATTAAACTTACTTGCGCAGATATATCAACACAACATACATCTCTAGAACATTTTATAGTGAGCTGAAGAATATTTTTAAAAATCTGATGACAAAGTTCTTTACTAGGGGCTAAAATCAATGTTTTTATGTTATATTGATTGGCATTTAACTAAAAAAAACATACACTAGTTAAATAATATAAATTAGTTCATTTAAACAACATATTATTTACTTATATTCTTAAAAATATTAAATATAAATAGCAAATTTGTTTAAAGATTAAATTTAAACAAATTTTTTTTCTTATAAGTACAATCTAATAGGTTTTACTTTAGAAAAAAAAAAACTGAAATGTAGTATTATTAGAAACCTAAAAGGACAAACTGGAATAACTAAAGAGCAAACCTTTCACATGACAATAATACATGATTATAATAGTGCTTTATAATTATTCTTGTTTTCTCAATAACTATATTAACATAATTGAAATAAATAACAATATATCTTACTTCTTTTGACATTAATATTTTTTGTAAAACTGGAATTACAAATGCTGCTGTTTTTCCTGATCCAGTTCTTGCTCTTAATAACATATCTTTACCTTCTAAAATAAGTGGGATTCCTCTTTCTTGAACTAATGTTGGTTCAGTCCATCCAATATTAGCTATTGCCTTTATAATGATTAATTACAAAAATTTAAGTATAGAATTGAAATACTTTAAAAAAAACCCAGCACAGTGGGGTCGTGGCATAGTGGAAACGTTGCATAGTTGGGTCCAGTATAGATTTAATCTGACAGTGATTAAAATTACTATCATAAGAAACGCTTCGATGCAAATCTGAAGATAGTGTTTAATTTATAAAAATTGATGGATAATTACAAAAGCAACATCAACTTCTATTTCCTTAATTATACCCAGATTAGTAATTCTTTTAATTATATATTATATAATTTTTAAAATGAATTGTGTTTCAAATTATTATTGATTTTGATTTTTAATATGTTAAAAGTAATAATTTTGAACCTAATTTTTATTGTCCTTTAAAGTGAAAGTTTTATTAAAAAAAAAATGAATTTATTACCATAAAAAGTAGCTCAATNAAGTTTTATTAAAAAAAAAATGAATTTATTACCATAAAAAGTAGCTCAATTTGCAAGTTTGAAATTGACATTATTAAATAAATAAAAATGAAATTGTTAATAATAGATTATTGTTAGTAATAAATCACTTAAATAATAATCATAGTATTCATTTCTAATTAACTTTTGGCTTTTAAAAAGATTCTACAATGGAAATATTCAGAATTTAATTAATTTTAATGATTATATATCTAAAAAAACCAATAAAAAAAAAGTTATTCAATTTAGCCTATTATAAAAATAATAATTATAAAAAAATAGGGCAGTGTATTGCCCTTATAAGATATTTTAAAATAAAATAAAACCCAGCACAGTGGGGTCATGGCATAGTTGGGTCCAGTATAGATGATATCTGACAGTGATTAAAATCACTATCATAAAAAACGCTTCGATGCAAATCTGAAGATAGTGTTTAATTTAAAAAAAAAAAATTTGTTAAAACAGCATATTTTTGAATACGGTAGCCATTTGCGCATAGAAGATAGGTCATAGGGACAAATTTATTTTTTCATTTTATAGTACATGACATAAATTTTAATTTGATATATGTTTAAAGGACGCAGTATTTCCGGAACACTTTCAAAAATTAAGTTGAAAAAGTTAGTTTTTGTAAAAAAGTTGCTATTTTAAATCTTTCCCAATGAGCAGGTTAAGTGTTAAATTTTCAAAAAAATGATATCAAATGAAAGGGAAATATCTAAGGTTTTAGTATAAAAAAAAATTATGTTGATTTGTTTATTTTTGAAAAAGTTATGGAAGTTTTAAGAAAAGTTAAAAAAATAACAAAATTTACCGATTTTTAATTTTTAAGGGTAATGTCTTCAACTAGATACGATTTGTGATTATTTGACTTATTGTTGAAAAAAATCGGTCCAGTGAGAGCTGAGAAAAAGTGGCCACAGATTTAAAAAAAAAACACATGGTAAAATTAATACTTTCTCAGCTTCGCATCGAAGCTAATAGAACTTTTTTAACTGAACTTTTAAAAATGTTCTGGAAATACTGCGTCCTTTAAACATATATCAAAGGTTATGTTATATACTATAAAATGTACTTTTAATTAAATGGCTAGCATTAAAAGAATGATATACATAAGAAATTTTAATGCTGAATGGGAATCTAACGATTTGTGATCTTTTGACGTATTGTTGAAAGAAATCGGTCCAGTGAGAGCTGAGAAAAAGTGGCAATTTTTTTTATTATTATTATAATTATTTAATTATTTTTATAAATAATTAAGTAGGACAATCCAGCTAAATTGAACACAACTATGCATGATAAATACTGTCTGGGATGACTTCTATTGCCGATGAAGACATTATTCATTAATAAAAATTGTTATCCTTTTTTCTATTGACAGCCTAATTTTCTATGATAGAAAATGATATATTAAGAAACCGGTTTCATAGTTTATCTAAGTAATTAGAAAAAACCCAGCACAAGGGGGTCTCGGCAAAGTAGTGACGTGGCATAGTTGGATCAAGTATAATAATATCTAACAATGATTAAAATCACTATCATAAAAAAGCTACGGTGCAAATCTTTAGATAGTGTTTAAATTAAAAAAATTAGTGTTTTATTCCAAAAGCTACTTGATCTGCTGGTTCCTTAATATCTCGATTAAGATAAAGTATGTCGAATGAAAAAGGGTTTATTAAAAAATATTATTTCTCATAAAAAAATTGTGTGGATCCATACACTTTTCAATAAGTTATAGCATTATAAAGTTAAATATAATATGAATAATAAAATCGAGAATTTTCACACGAAAATAGCATTCGGTAGNTTAAAATCGACAATTTTCACACAAAAATAGCATTTGGAAGCCATTTTCACTGTGAAGACAAAGTAAAGTCCGAATATTTTTTTTTCACATAATAAAGTATATTACATTAGCTTTTATTTAAGATATATATAAAAGTGTCAGTATATCAGGAACAATTTCAAAAGTTAAGTTGAAAAANTTGTAAGACTTTCTGAAACACTATAACGAAAGAAATTTTTTCAATTTTTGAGGGTAATGTCATCGACTAGATACCATTTGTGATCTTTTGACGTATCATTGAAAGAAATCAGTTCGGTGAGAGCTCAAAAGTGGTAACAGACACAAAAAAAAAAACACATCATAGTAAAACGAATACCGTCTCAGCTTTACATCAAAGCTAAAACCTAGCATAATATGCCAACCCTGAATATATTAAGTAAAATTAAAACTATATTAAAAATATTACAAGTGGTCAATTTTTATTATATAATTATGGAGTTCGGGCATTTTGATCATAATAAAGAGTTAAACAAACTGATGCAGACCAAGACGAAAATACGCTTGAATGAAGCTGATATATTTTTTTTCAAAAAGTGTATTAAGTTCCATATGACTCCGAAGTTTGCCAGATTAACAAGTAAGTCAAACAATAATAATATTAATTTTTTCAAGTCAATCAATTTCGCTCAGGAGAAGTTTCGTAAGTTAGAAATAATTAATCATTATCGTAATAGAAGGAGATTAGAAATGTGGGCTTATCAATTACATTTAAAATCTTTTATTTTTTAAGTCAATCACAGTGGGAAATCTACGAGCTTAAGATGTACCAAGTGATTGAACATTAATTTAAAAAAAAAAACCTAGCACAGGGTGTGGCGGCACAGTGGTGTCAGTCTTTCCGGAACACTTTCAAAAGTTAAGTTGAAAAAGTTCTACTTTCAACATACATTTTTTAGATTTGACCCCTCCCCTGTATATAGGGAAATGGTCCGATTTAAAAAAAACAGTATGTCGAATGAAAGATGTATATAAATACTACTTCTCATAAAAAAATTGTATTGATCCATACATTTTTCAAAAAGTTATAGCATAATAAAGTTAAAAATGTAAAATACAAAATCGAAAATTTTCACACAAAAGTAGCATTTGGTAGCTATTTTCACCGTGAAGATAAAATAAGTCCGAAATTTTTTTTTTCCATGATAAATATAATGCATTAGCTTTAATTTAAGATATATATAAAAGTGTCAGTATTTCCGGAACATTTTCAAAAGTCAAGTTGAAAAAATTAATTTTTTGTAAAAATGTTGTCATTTGAAATCCCCCCCTGTGGGCAGGTAAAGGGTCAGATATAAAAAAATATACCAAATGAAAGGTAAAGACATCAAGCATTTATAAAAAAAAAATTTATATTGATATGTTTATTTTTAAAAAAGTTATAGCAGTTTTTAGTAAAAAAAATTGAATAAATTTCGAAAATTAGCGATTTTTAAATTTGTAATTTTTTTGGAGGTTTCCCCCATTTACGGGGAACGAGGGAATTTTCAATTTTCGAGGGTAATGCCTTCGACTAGATATGATTTTTGATCTTTTGACGTATCATTAAAAAAAATTGGTTCGGTGAGAGCTGAGAAAAAGTAAAACTAATACCTTCTCAGCTTCGCATCAAAGCTAACAAAAAAAGAAAAGTTAAAGAAAAAATTTCAAAATTTACTTTCAGAATACAAAAATAAAGACCAAATAAATAATTTTAATAAAAGTCCGGTAGTTTCATTTTCTAAAAACTGGGGGGATGATTTAGTAAAAAATTACACAAATATTGTGTTTTCCGCTGAAGAAACTAAAATACTTAAGTTGGGTCTTAAATAAGTTTTTTACCAAAATAATTTCTGATGGAAGATCTAGTAGTAGGCATTGAAATGGAGGTTAAAAGTGTTGATTTTAATTATCAAGACTTAGCAAAAAGAGAGTGTTTAAATTTTCTACAAAAAGTTCTGTTGTAAATAAAAGGGGTTTAGGAAAAAATGAAATACATTCAATAAAAACTGTTTATATTTAAAGGCAAATAAGGGGAATTCTATAGTAATAGTGAAGAAGATTCTTTCGAAAGAGTATCAAAAATTATTTAAGAGGGTCCCTATAAAGAAATTAAAAAGAATCCATTAAGTAAAATAATAAGGGAGGCTACAAACGTTACCAATAGTTCAAAATTAATAATTGAATAAAAGTTCAGGTTTTTTTTTAAAAATTTCAAATCTTCAAATACCTAAACTATATACTTTGCCAAAAATACATAAGCCAGGAAATAATATGAGACCTATTGTGTCGAATATTAATGCTTCGACTTACAATTTGGCTAAACACCTAGTAAGGGTATTTTCACCTATTAAAAAAATTTGATAACTTTTCAGTTAAAAATAATATTGACTTAGTTCAAAAATTATCTGGTTATACCAGTCAAAATAATAACAGGTTAATTTCTTTTGACGTAGTAGCCTTATTTCCGAAATATTCCGATAAATATAACAATTGATTTTCTTAAAGACTGGCTAGAGGAACAAAACATGGAACAGGATAAAATAAATGAGCTTATTAATTTAACAAAGTTATGTATGAGTCAAAATGTTTTTCAGTTTCAAAATAAATTTTATGAGCAAACTGAGGGCACAGCAATGGGAAAACCACTATCACCATTTTTAGCAGAACTTTTCATGAATAGGTTTGAAACAAATTTAAAACCCACTTATGATGGGTTTTCCAAAAATTTGGGTTAGGTTATGTAGATGATATTTTTGCAGTTATAAATAAAGATTTTAGTATGGAGGTTTTCATATAACATTTAAATTCTTTTTACCCATCGATTAAATTCACATATGAGCAAGAAGTAGAGGGACAATTGCCTTTTTTGGTTTTATTAGTTAAAAGAACAGAGGGAGAACTAAATTTTGAAATTTATCGGAAAAACACGTACACATTCTGATACATTCCGAACACATCAAACCACACATGGCAACACAAATTGGCAGCTTTTATAGTATGGTTTACAGATTAATTAATATTCCAATGAATAAAATAGATTTTGATAAAGAACTGGTGGTTATAAAAGTAATATCTAGATTTAATGATAACGAAAACATAATTTCAAAATTAGTTTGAACACAAAGTGGAAAAAAGAAAGGAGGGCAGCTAGTAAACTCACTAGCGTGCGGGGAAAAAATAATTAGATCATCAATTTTATATTATCTGAGCATCTCAAATGAACTAGAATATTTAAGAATTTTGGTATTACTTTAGTAACATCTAAGAGTAATAATTTAAGAGATTTATTAGATAACCTTAAAGATAAGGTAGAAGAAGGGAGGAAATCAGGCATTTATAAAATACAATGTGAAAGTTGTAATAAATGTTACGTAGGACAAATAAAAATAAATATAGGAGTCAGGTTTAAAGAGCACTTAAGAAACATTAAAAATCAAGAAGTTGAGAAATCTCCAGTGGCTGAACATTTATTGACACATAATCACTCCATTAAAACCATTATTAATTAATTAAAAATTAAATTAATTAATTAAAAACGTAAATAATTACAAAGAACTTAATATTAGGGAGGCAATAGAAATGTTTAAAAATAAAAACAATTTAATTAATAGGGATCTTGGCCCACTGAAAAATTCATTATTAAACTTGAGTAAACTGGCAAAATTTGATAATATTACTTAGTGATAACATCACTAGGGGTATATAAGGGAGTTTTTTCTAGTCAGGGTGTCATTTAGATTAGTATGTGTTTAGTGTTGATAATGGTAACATTGTTTCTGAAATACGTATCCGCAACTTTTCAGTAATTTTTTGTAGCTTTTGAGTTTAATATTTTTTAGTTTTTAAATTAATAATATTTTTAATATAGTTTTAATTTTAATTAATTACTTAGCCACAAGTGATGAATTTTTATTATACTGGATATATTATGCATATATTTGACAATGATTATCACATCATAAAACATTATTGTTTACTTTAATTTGTTATAGATTAAGTTTTCAAATTATTCAAAACATGTTTAAACATTGGAAAGAAAAAAAATTGGCATACATGATAGCCTTGTTCAAACATGCACCTTGTACTTAAGATTTATTTATATTTTTAAAACTTAACAAAAAAAACTGTAAAAAATTTTAAGCAATTTTCAAATGCAAAAAAAATATTTTTACTTGCTATTTTTTGACAGTTATTTTGATGTATAGATTAATAAAATTAATCTAATGATAGCAGAGAATTTTCATTTAAAAATACAAAAAAATATATTTTTTTCAAAAATAATACTAATATTTATACTTAATATAGTATTCATTACCAGATATACTATTTGAGAATAATTTTAAAGGTTAATAGTACCAAACTTCGTTCCTAAACTTGGAACCTTTTAAATACTAAAAAAAAAATTCATTTAGATTTTTCTTATAAACAATAATATTTCTCTTACTTAATAATCTAACATCAGGTAAGTAGTAGAACTGTTTAATAGAATACTCATATAAGAACCTTATTAAAACTATGTTAAAAACAAAAAGACACTTGTCAAAAGTCCACATTGTTTAGGTAAAATATTTTTCCTTCTTTGGTAAAATTAAGTTTTTGTAATTTTGTACTTTTCCCATGTTAGTGACTCAATTATCTTACCCCAGGATCAACCTTACATGGCTTACCCACCAACACATAAAAAAAACCTCCACTATGTCCAATGTGCAATACTAATGTAATAATTAAAACCATTCTAACAGAATGCAGACTATATATAGAAACCAAGGAAGATAAGCAATTTCAAACCACTTCAGCCATAGCCTTTTAAACCAACTTGATGAAGAAATGAAAATAGTTCAATTTTTACAAATCTTTAAATTATAAATTTTGTAAATTTAAAACTTATTTTAATCCAGAAGCTAATATACCTGCTGTAAAGGCTTATCATGTAAAAAAAAACATCAATCATGTGTTTATTACTACCACTCAAGATAAAAAAAATTCATCATGTAGTATATATAATGATTAACTTATAAAATATTTTTTAATTTGGGACTAAAAGAACCAAAACCTGACCATTCAAGAAGTCTAGATAACGATTTTTGGTTTTTATTAAAGAATAAATAACATTCTTCCAATTCTTTGTATAGGACTCTATTTATTATTTATACTGTACACGAAGAGTCTGATTTTTCGACATTAAGTAATTTAACATAAAACTTAATAAATTTTCCTACCTTAAGTATACGATCGTCAATACTCATCTCATGAAAATTAACGTGAGTTTCCATAACACTAGTATAATGTAGAAGAATTAAAAAAAAACTAATAGTTAACTACTTAGGTATGTTATTCAGTAAAAATTAATCAAAATTAGTAGTTTCTAATACATCAAGAATTCACACGTGTTTATATTATTGTTTTAGTAAAAAATACATATAAGTGATAACCATAACAATCTTATCTTATATTAGTTATAACCATTGCCTCAAGATAATGTCCCTATTATACCACAGATTGGATCATAGACAAGTATACTATATGGATTGGATATAGCCTTATCTGTAGCTACCCAGGTTGACCGTACGTACACTTTAAAACCGGATTGTCCCTTTTTTGTGAATCATGATCTGTTCTCCGACAAAATACAAACGAGACGATTTTTATACTGTTTTCAGAAAATAGTCTAGTTTTAATCCCGTTCTTTACATATTATACTAATGTCATATTATATGACATTTATAAAATAAAAAGTGATCACTTGTAGCTAATATTTTTTATTTAGTTTTAATTTCAAAAAAAATATTTATAAAAGAGAATGAAATTAAATTTTTGAAACAAATATAAAAAACTTTTAAATTTGCTATTTTTGTGTTAAAATTCTGGATTTTGTATTTTATTTTATTTTAAAATACCTGACAAGGGGAGTACAGATTTTCATAAATATTATATAAATAAAAAATTAATATAGCATAGAAAGTTAAACTTATTTAAATTTGTTTGCTTCTTTTAAGTCGAGAAAAATAACTTTGAAATTTGATTTAGCTTAAATAGCCAATTTTTTCAATATATAATACCAATGTACGGTTGCCGAGTTGGTAAAAGTTACGCTTTACACGCTTGGGGTACGACGTTCCAACCCGCGTAAGGCAATGAATTTTTTGCATTTTTTATTTATTCTTTTTAAGTTAGTATAAATTTTTAACTCGTTTGATTTTTATCTCATTTAGATTCAATAACTTCAATAAAGATCAAGGATTCCATAATTTTAGTCGCACCTTGTAAGAAAAAATTTCTTATTCGTATTAAAATTATTTTACTATATTTTAAGTTTTAGCTTCGATGCAAAGCTGAGAAGAT